AAACATAGAAAATGAAATTATTAGTGGTTGAAGAACTTGAAATTGGAATGCAACCGGAGATTTTCCGCCGGGGAACTTGGGAACCGTCAATAATGGCGGTAGATTGGTAATATCTGGGAAGTGTAGTTGGAATTGGAGAAATTGAACGTCGAATGATGACAGAACTGGGCCTGTCCGCCTAGGTCTGGGGCGGGCCAACCCATATAAGTTCAGTAGGCCGAGCCCTGGATTTACTCGCAAGTCGCAGTCAATTTTTTCTTTAAAGGCAGTTTTCTTTTCATTTTTAATTAATAAAAAAAATACTTACATCCAACTCGTTTTACATTAACATTTTTTTCAAGTATTTTCAATTCCTTCACTATGAATATAAACTCGAGCCTTTTCGATGTATTGTCTCCTACACCAATATATTTAAGAACTAGTTTCGAAAGTGTTATAACCGTTTGAACTATAAACATAAATAGAGCTGCGAATTTCACGAAATGTGTCGATAAAAAGTAATTTGATCGATTATTAACAAGATTTATCTTATTGACTCGAAAAAAGAAAAATGAATTTAGAAAACCCAAGATTTTTTTATTTTTTTTTTTATCACTTTACCACATATTATCTCCTCCAAAAACAATAAATTTTAATAGTATGATTTGAACCCTTTAAATAATGTAAATATCGTGTCTTATTCCCCATCTCATAAAAATAAGTTTTTATTTATTTATTTTCACACAGACTAAGAATGTAATTATATGGCCAAAAATATAAATTTTCTTACATCTTTCCTATTATACCCCTACATTAAATAATAAATTAATTATGAGTAATTTATATTTGTTGATAATAAGATACATTAAATAAAAAGATATTAAAAAAAAAAATTCAACTATAGTTTCTAAGGGTGGATAAAATGATCAGATCAAATCAAACTAAGCAATTCGATTTGATTCTACATAAAAATTAATGATTTTGGTTCTGAAAATCGAGAATCATTTGGTTCCGATTATAGTTTAGAACCGAACCAAAATCAAGAATCGAACTTAGTTTTTGTTATTTCTTTATATTTTGTTTTCACTTTACAAATCAATTAATCACACCAAAAAATACAACTTTAAAAACTACAAGTGTGAAATGGACAAAAATGTCATTTATTATTACATTTTACCTCATCATCTATCAAACAAACTGACCAAGTCCTAAATCTAAATTTTGATTCATTTTCTCATTTCAATTTTAGATAGACACTCGCACTCGTACACTACAATTGTCATTACATTCGCTGAATGTCTAATTTTTTTTAATTTAGGTATATATTACTAACTTATGGATATGGACCAATGGTAATAAAATTTAATTTGGATTTATCATTTGAAATTTAAGTAATGGGATTATAACTAAATCAAACAAAATGGTCCAGTTTCAGTTTAGTTCCATAAAAAAAAATAAAAATGGTTCCATTAGAAAAAAAAAAAAAAAAATCATTGATTCTTGGTTCAATTGGAACTAGAATAAAATGGAACCATGTCAATCACTGATATTTTTAATAAGAAAAGTGGCCTATAATTTGGGACATACAAAAAAAGAGAGTAAGTCTATCTTTATAGGAAGAAAGAAGTAAATTTTACTTTACAACCAATAAAAGTTTATAATAGGTTATCGACCATTATCAAGATTAATAATAATAATAATAATAATAATAATAATAATAATAATAATAATAATAATAAAAGGATAATTGCAACTGCACCTCCAAATCTTTCAAAATATTGCAAATTTTACTTTAACCTTTTATCGTTGCATCTTTTAACCCAAATCTTTCAAATGAGTGAACTAAAGCACAAATGGATGGAATTCATCCAATTTTCCATTAGCTGCAGATAATTCTCTCTTAATCTCATCTACGTTTAGGTTCCTCTTCAATTCTGTACTCGTATCCAATCTCTCATCCTCCCTCACAAAACAGACAGTCAAGTTATTCCTCATTTTACACCTCAAAAATCTTATCAAATTTTGTAATGGAGGGATAGAATAGTTTAGCTAGCGGGCTTTTGGCCGAGTAACGGGTTTTGTGCTTGAAAAGAATGGTTCTTGAAGAACAACTGCTTTGGATGCACAGCTGCAATTATTCCTAAAAAAAATGTTTAAAAAGCTAGACGCATAGACACAATGGCAAACTCAATTTTCAGGTACTGATTTGACAGTTTTTGATTAACAATTTTTTTGTTTTAACCGCCAATCAAAAATTGTTAACGTGTTAAAATTCCTGTCATTCGCCTTGTTTATGTAGCATCTCTCTCCTAGTACGTATCGACCTTTGCCTACAACGCTGGTTTGCACCGTCTTCTACGTTATAGGTGACGAAAGTTAGAAACTCCGCCGCCTAGAAATCTATCATATTTAAATGAATTGGTAAGAACTTTTGTCTTTTTTTTTTTTTTTTTCTTGCATTTTTAAAATTATTTTAATTATTTTATATGATAATATTATAAAGTTATCATTTTAACCTCCACTTAATTGGTCAAGAGAGGTCAGATTTTATTTTCCTTGATCAACTAATGACAAATTGGACAGATTCCATCCATTTGTGCTTCATCGGTTGAAAGGTTTGGGGCCACAACTTCAACAAATGAAAGGTTAGAATAAATCTGCAATATTTTTAAAGCTTTGGATGCACAGCTGCAATTATCCCTAAAAAAATGAATTGGTAAGAACTTTTGTCATATTTACCCATTCATTAGGTTTTACACAAAACTGCCTGGTTCTAATGGATTTTACCAATTTTACATGTTCTTCATCAGTTTAAGCGTCCACTGGTTCGAAGGTTCGACTTCACCCAACATTTAAAAAATTAATAAAGTAAGCTCGAAGACAAAAAACAAAAAAAATGAGTCCATCCATAAGCTCAAAATGAGCGACTCGTGAAAAAAAGTGAACCCAACTCGATCCAAGAATTGTCTCAAAATGAGCCCATGCAGTTCGTGGATCGAGCCGACAAACGACTTGACCGGTGAAATCCTTCTATCTCCATTTTTACTAAAAAAAAAGAAAAAGAAAGTAGGAAATTGAGAGTTTAGAAGTGAAGTATAACTATTTTGAAAAGTACATTTCCATTTTAAAAAAATAAATAAATAATTTTAGAAAATTGATTTTTAGATGAATTTATAATTAAAAGGTAGGAAAAAAATGTAAAAAAAATAAAAAATGAATAAAATAGGTGAAAGAGAGAAGCGATTATTAAATAATTAAAATTAAATAAGTGCTATCAATACATACGAGAGTAGTCAGTAGAGAAAAACTCGCATTTAGTGGTCCCTTTTCACTTTCCAGCATAAAGTCAAAGAAGTTGCTGGAAAAGAAGCCATTATGCTTTTAAAAATTCATTATAGCCAAGATTTTACTTATCTCTAGGGTTTACTTTAAAGATTTGGCGATAATGATTTTAATATAATTAAATTCAAAATTAAGCATATAATTACATTATTCGAGAAGGTCCACATCATCTTCAATTGTCGGCCACTTGTTTGCTTCCGCACCTTTGTAATTAAGCTATTGGATTCACATATTATTCGTATAATCTTTTTAAAATTTCATTCGTTAAAAAATAATAAATATATGCGCTTAAAATTGAAGTTTAATTCGTTTAAAAAAAAAAAAACTTTACCAAACAAGTTATTAATATTCTTTCTTAGTTTACTTAAATCACTAATTTCATGTGCAATCACGTAAATATAGAATCAAACTATCGCGATCCAATTCTCGATGAGTAATGCTATTTAACTCTACTGAGATTACAACCACAGTCTAGGTGACGTTAATGTGACACATATCATTTAATTTCACATTTTATTTAACATATCATTTAGAGTCATCTAGATTCGGATTACAACCTCAGTGGGGGTACATATCATTACTCATTCTCGATTCCAACTAACAGTAAAGTTTTAATTCGGTTTTAATTTTTTTTTAAGCAAAATCTATTTCAAGATCCTTTTTTTTGTATTATTCCTTAATTATATGAACCATTATAAATTTTATATAAAAGTTGCATGAATAAATATATATTTTTTGGATCAATACTTTATGTTTTCGCTTCTTATTATATTTGTTTTTTGGCTTACTTAAAGTTTAAGGATAAAATTATGTTCTTACATCATTTTAGTATACATTTTAGATGAAAGTCATTTGTAGGGACAAACCTCGCTAATTAATTAGGATGGAGATGAAAATGCGACAGACGAGATTAGGTTGGAAACAAACAATTACAGTAACAACCATGATACAAGTACAATTTTTTTGACATCAAGTTTAAATTATCAATTTTACAATTATCAATACTGATATCAATTTTCACTTGAAACGGAAAATCGAAAAGCGAAAGCGAAACTAGAAAATTTTCAATTCGTATCCAAATAATCTATAATATAGTTCATCAAAATCAGTTTCGAATCACATAAACTTAATCCTCTAGAGTAGTTATTTATAAAATGTTGTAGCATAACTAAATGGTCCAAGTTTGTGATGTAATAGAAGTTTAAGGATTTCAACTTTAGAGTTGTGCTTAGTGTACAGAGAAAGCTGTACAAGATTTTTATAGGGGGAGCGTGTCATTTTCTCATTAGGAATTGGCGAAAAAACAGAAAAAATGCAACCATGCAAGTGCTACCAACGCTTTACCTGTAAGTAAGCCCTTTCCCCTGTATCTTGACCGAATCCTTCCTTAACCTGGATATTGTATTTTTATATGTTACTTATGTTTCTTGTCCAAATTTCTCTACAGTACACATGGAATAATAAGACGAGAAGAAAACTATTGGTTATTTATTTAAATTTGAATCTACTGTTGAATTTTTTAAAATATTTAAAACTTCAGCTATATGAATGCTACTGGAACATGATGCATTTATACATCTCTCCTCCTCCTCCAAACCTGTCTAATAACGTATACCTGTATTACTTTCAGTCGAGAGTTTTGCTTCCAACACAAGCCAACTTCTTGGCCACTAAGTACCATGAGCACATCAAAATATGAATTTATTTCGAGAACTTCAGGCATTCATTCGCCTCCAGAGGCCACACTGGAGAATCTGCAAGAAAATAATTTAGATGGAGATGAAAGCCAAGAACAGAATAGAGAGTTGAAAAGAGAGTGCGAACTCACGATTTCTGGAGAGGACTCTGATCCCAAGTCAAATCTGGAGCTGAATTTAATTGATTGCTTGGAGAAGGCTCCATCTAATACTTCACCAGAAACACCAGAAGCATCAGATGACGAGCCACGAGTTTTCCCGTGCAACTATTGCCAACGAACATTTTATAGCTCCCAAGCACTAGGTGGACATCAGAATGCACATAAAAGGGAGAGAATTCTGGCAAAAAGAAGACACAACCTAGGGACATCATATATGGCAGCTTTTGGACAAATCCAGCACCATTATCCCAGCATGTCAGCTCTTCCACTGAATGGTTCTTTCTATAACTCACTCGGAATTCAAGTTCACTCATCGATTCATAAGCCTTCTCATGCATTAGGTGCCTCAGGATACAAGAGTTTTTACGGGCATGCTGGTAGGTCTAGGACCCCAATTGACCAGCAACCATCTGTAGGGAAGCTAGCAGTGCAAAAGTATAATTCCAGTGCATCAAATGGACTATTTCCTATAGGCAATACTGTGACATCAAGCATAGTGAGAACATCGACGGATTTTCCTCCGGATTGGATGGGAGCTGTTCACTTGAAGACTAATCAAGACAGCTTGCAAAAGCTTGATCTCTCACTCAAGCTCTAATTTTTTCAGCCTTCTATTTTTCTTCCAATATGGGCGTGTATAATTTTTTTAATTTTTTGCTTTGATCTAGCTTTGGCCTATTATTTTTTTGCTAGTTCTTTATATTTCTTTTTTCAAGCTGTCAGAATTGAAGCTTCCACTATTCCCAAGCTAAGCTAAGCACCTAAATCTGCTGTTTAGGCAATGCCAACACTCTGCCCCGCTCCTCTCCCCACTACAATTCATGTGAGTTAGCCCATTTTCCAAATGTAACAAACTGAATCATATATTACAAGTTATACATGTGTAACTGTTGGTCCAGAATCAGTTATTCATAACAAGAAAACTTCAAGTATGTAAAAAATCACATAAACAAAATAACAACACAAAGATTTTTCGCCCCCTTTGGGAGCTCGGATGTTCAGCTAAAAGCCTACTCACCCGTTGAGCATCTACGCAGTAGATTATGCTCGAATCCACTAAGAATATCACAAAGTTCAGATTTACAGAATGTATCAAGTTCTCTCTAATCTCTAACAAATACATATTTCCTCTCACTGGTATATACAATATACACTCGAAAACATTACTAAGATATTACAGATCACATTAAGGATCTCAAGAATCAAATTACAGAGACAACCACTCGAGAGAGGAAGGAAGAGAGAAAACCCTAGCCAAAGAGAATGAATTAATCCCAATAGAAGAGTCCAGAATATGGTTTAAAGGGCTACCATCCAACGGTCTAAAATGTTACACGTGAAGAGCCAGGATTACAACAATTTAAAGGCACTAAACCGGTTGGCCCAAACACAGCAAACGAGCCCATGTCTTACAACAAAACAGGCCAACAAACTTCAGAGGCCCAAAGACAGAATAGTGATGCAACCCAAATCCAACAGTAACAACTAAAGACCGAGTTCTAAGTAATGCCGCTACGAGTATGCTAGTGGTCAAAACCTCGAGCTTCTATTCCTTACTAGTTACTGTACACTATCCAGCATAGACCACATGGTTCATGAACATAACTTATCAAACACCCTTTAGCCCCTTGAAATATGCACGTTCAACAGGTCTTGATGAGGATTTCATATCCTTATCTTTACTTTTTTCCTTTTTGCATAAAAGTTACGGCCAAACAAATATCAGTAATTGGAGAAGAACGTTTTCAGCAAATTTCAAACATGACCCCGCTCCTAAATAAACTCGTTAAAGTCAAATCAAAGTTCAATATGTTCAAGTTACACAGGACATGAATATGTTCTGAACAAAGGAGATGCTACTTGCATTGTGTGAATGGAACTTGAGTGTCAAAGAGCATTCTGGGGAACCCTTTGGCACGTGCATTAGTGTTGCAGATATGAGATTCAGGCAAAAGAGTTTCTTCAGTCTTGGCCCAGTTAGGGATGGCAACGGGACACGTATGGAGCCAGTTGACCATTCCTACCCTTGTCCCCGTCGGGTATTTTTGTCACACTGTCCCGTCCCCATATTTGGTTAAAACGGACGGGCGGGCTGCCCTGCCCCATTTATTGCCATTTTATTTTATTTATTCATGTATTTAATTAGTAAATATTATTACTTTTTTTGTTGCTAATTTGTTAAAAACAACTCACGTTTTCTTTAAAAATGATGATAAATCTTTTATTTTTATTTAATAAAAGATTTAAAATTGAAATTAATTTTAAACCGGGCAGATACCGGGATGAGAATGCTCCTCCCGTATTCACTCTATATCCGCTTCGGGGCAACGAACTTCACCCCATCCCCATCCCCGTCCCATTTACTTGGTTAGGCGGATAATCATTGTCCCATTCAAGGTGGGATCCCGCAGGGATCAAGTTAAATGGATTTTTTTTGTGCCATCCCTAGGTGCAGTTTATCACAATTCGAGGCCTTCCTAACCTGGAAACTGAGTTTCTATATATTAGTCAATTCTAGTGCAATGTGCAAACCATTTTGCTCGAAGTGGAAAACTGTTATTCTAGGAATCACAGCTCAATAGAAACAAAAACTGTCAAGTCTAGTTCATTCAGTCTCAACAAGAAAGAAATTAAACAAACCAGTTTCCTGATCTCATGAATTATCACTCTTAAGGCATCTGGCTAAAACTGGAAGATAATATCTCAAATAATCATGAAAAAGAGTTCAAGGCATATAAAGCAGTAACATAAAAAACAAGAACTAAACTAAACTTGAACATGTGATTCATGGTTAATATGGTGTCAATCCTCAAATATTTAGAGTGCACGACTTGAATATTTCGTTTTTCTAATGAGGCATAATAAAATTATTGCAACATCCTGCAAAACTCTCCAGGTAACCGATGGCAAAATCGAAGCGCAAAATCGAAGCACGAATGCAAAATGAAGCGTGTCAATATGTAGAACATTTCATTGATATTCCAAGCTTTAGCATTCATATGTAGACGTCTAAATGATCTAAAATGGTGTCAAGTGCCAGACAAAATTTGTTTCATCCAATGTGTATTTCCAGATAATAGAAGTAAAATACAACAGAGAAATGAGAAAAATATTCCTAGTTTTCAATTACAGATTGGAGTTTCTGCAACCACTGGATAAGCTCAATCCTATCTTTGTTCATCATATATTCATGCAAAAATTTAGAAAGGCCATCATTTACTCCCCTTGTCCTCAGGAATTCATAAAATCCATTCTGGAGCTTGGTGCTCATATCCCTGAAAGCAACAATGCACAGGCCAAAGAATTACCACCAAGCATTGTGCTGAAGACCAAAAATATCAAAAGATGATTTCTATGATTCTGTCCACAGCCAATGTAAAAAAAAATTGAGAAAACGAGAACTGTACCATGCAATCATCTGTTTCCACTCCCCCGAACAAACCCATGCGTAGGGTAAAATTAATATATGTGGAAAAATTCTAGAGCAGTTTATGTATTGAAAACCACTGAAAAAATATAAATGAATCCTTCCAAATGTGTAGTATATTTGCCAATATAACCGGCTATACAACCCCAAGTGGAAACTAATTTTGAACCACTGAGATTCTGACTTTTTATGATACAATACAAAGGTTAACTTCTAGAACTGACCTGAATTTACAAAGACTGCTTAAATTTTAATGTAGTAATTTCTACTAGGCAAGTTAAAGGACATCCATAAGAAACATCCTTTATCGGAGAGTTATTTTCAAGACGGCATTTTTATTCACAGTGAAGTCCAGAAGAAAGTAGAAGATTCGGTGGAGTATTTGAAAGGAGGGGTTAAGATCACCAACATCAACAGAAAGATAATAGGGCACAGCCCCGATACCGGATATTTACAGATTAAGAAAATTCAGGCACAACAAAAGAAAAGTAACAATATGTCAATACGATTTCTCAGGTTTATCTTTAGATCTCAAAGCGTGAACTAATTGTATTTTTAGAATACACAGTGCATAATACAATGAGAGAGTCAAACATACTTGATGTTTGGTCCCATGTAAGGCCGAGTTGGAAATCCACCATGCTTGAATATGTAAACTTTTTGAATTTCTAAAGCATCTGACCAGGCTGAGCACACAAACTCCATCAACTCATTTTGTTCCCCCTTCCAAATATCAACTAGCAAGCTAATGTGAAGCTGCACTTCTCCTCCAGTACTTTCACCACCAGATTTTGGAGCAAAGACTGAGCCATCAAACATTGTAGCCTCAATTTTAATATTCTCGTCCTGTGCAGATTTGCCCCTCAATGTAATCCACTGCTCACCAGGTCGATCTTCCACCATAAATCTATCGAACTCTGCCACAGGCTTTATAACAGACAAAAAAATGCATAAATAAAAGAAAAAAAATAAGCAGAAATGAAATTAGTTAACCCTGAGAATTAGATAATTTATCAATGATACCATTTCAAAGAAAGCTTATAAAGTGCATGTTTGGGAAAGCTTATAATTTCTTATAAGCAGGTAAAACTCTATTTATAAAGACACATTCCATGGGACCACAACTTTTACCTAATGTTTAACCACACATTCCTTGTGACCCGCTGCTTATAAGCACTTAAAAGCTTAGCCAAGTGAGCACAAATTCCACTATTCATAATTATTAAACCATGAAGCTCAAAATCGTGCAAAGACGCTTCAGCACGGATTACATAGATATTGGACTTAAAATCAGCCATCTTTGTTCTGCTGCAGCTGCATGTGATGTCATTGTTATTTATTTTCCTTCTACATAGCTTCTTGATTATTGCCATATACTACCCCAACAACAACCTTTTACCTTGGTTGGCAAATTATATATTCCCCGGAGACCTAACCAGAGCCTTGTAGATCTCTTCATCAAAGGTATTTCATAGTGAGATTGGAATGTTCCTAAGATGAAGTTATATTCAGATTTAAATATCAGCTGATCCTAATGAAACTTAGTGCTCAGACTTTATCATTTAAAGACTATTCAACCCTAACACTAAATTGCTAGTGAAAGGCATTTGACGGGTGACAATTTAGTTTAAATTTATTCTTTTAGAAGCCTGGACAAATGAAAGCATAAATTGAAGCTAAACAAGAAAAACTCAGCAGGTCAATTACTGGAAGAAGCTAACTTAGCAACGAGAGCTTCAAGAATGGTGGATTCAGCAATGACATTTCACTTGCTTCAAAATAGTATGCTCTTTTGTAATTTATGATCATATTTTTTTTGCCATGAGAATTTCAAAGTAGATGCAACATTTAGGTAAAATATCTCTCACTAAATTGATGCCAGCCAAAAAAGTAAAAATACTAACCTACAGAGTAGAGTAACAACATCAACATTTTATGCCTTCAAATCAATTTACTTGGTCCTTCATTTCTATTAAGCCCCTGTTTGATAATCATTATTTAAGAAAAACAATGTTTTGAATAGTGATTTTTAGGAGAACGTGTGATTAAAAAGTAAGAAAAAAATTTGAGTTTACGTGTAGAATATTTTTGTGTGAATATGTGGTTGAAAATACGTATGTAGAAAAAAGAATTTTCAAATAATGGTTGCTAAACATGGGCTAAATATTCTTTGAAATGATTTAACATTAAAATAGCGTCAACAAAAAAAGAAATGTCAGACTGTTTAAAAAACAAACTTCGACACCTCTATAAGCCAAATGGTACCATGCAACTCTAGTTTACTAACGAAATAACAAGATGTGTCTTCTCTTGCATCATTCTACAAATTACAATTGGCATATTGTTTTCCGAAAATGCATAACATTAACTAGTTTTTGATGTCTACTTCATATGGAACATCTTTAGAGCATCTTACTACACGTGAACCCATACCATACTGCAGCATGCCTAGAGTTGAGATACTTTCTGACGACGTTCCTAAGTCCCAATACTAAGATCCTATCTTAGAGATTGAGTGTAACAGCCATAAACGAGTATGAGCAACAATGCATTAGATGTCATTTAAACACTTTGAACCTCAATAGCACATGCTTCCCTATCACCGTCCCTACCGTCCACTAACTCAGCACTCTCTTATGATTCATACCCTTCACCTTCACTCTTAAAACAACAGCCACACTTATATTTATGTCAAAGAGTGGCTGTTTCTCCAGTTGTGCAATGTGTAATGCTAGAAAACTCCAATTTCATTTTCTTTCTTCCTTATGATTGATACTCGAGAAACTAAGACGTTGAAGCTGATTTCAACATAGTGATGCATAAGTCTCATGAAGCCAACCCCAAAATTGGGGGAACACGGTTAGAATGGAGCCTGTTTTACTCTGTCATGATTTCCAAGTTTTCAATGAATTAATGGATTCAATACACGATGTATTAATTATCTCCAATAAGACTGCAGGACTAGATATTGGCAAAAAATAAGCTTTCATTTAGTCAGCTTTATCGCTACAATCTAGCTTGTTATGCAGGGATTACTATTTACTATGATACAATCAAACCAGAAGTGTGATGCTTTTGCGTTATGATTATTGCACTCTCAACATTTTAGCAACTTGGTATGGATCAGTGACATAAAGAAGCAGAACATTTATGAGTCATTCGCTTTCGGTTATAAAGGTAGCTTAAAACTGTAAATCTCGTGTTCCTAATTTGATTCGTTTTGTGAGCCAAATAATAGAGGATTGTGTGTGAAACCAGATATACCCATTAAAGTAGACATCTTTTCATTTTCTCTTGACTGATAAGGTGCAACCAGAGACCAAACGGTGAATATAACGCATTGATAGCATGTGCCACAGTATTTTAACATCTTTACTTTCCTTAACACTAACCAACGCTCGCTAATCCGACCGACCAAACATACTACAAGGAACTAAAATAGAACAAAACCAAAAAAGAATAAGAAAAACCTGGTGGGGCGGGGCGTAATCCGACTGGTACTGAATCTCATCCCGGACGAGTCTGAGAATTTTGGATTCGAACGGCGAATATGGCTTTGTCTGCCCTTGTGTTTGAATTTGAGGGTTGGTACTCCGGGACTTGTTCGAGGTGTTGTGGGCATCGCGACATTGACTCATAGAGAAACATGAAATAGGTTTGATGAAATGTTCCTTCTCCCTCTTATTGGTAATGTTGTAGCTGCAGCTTGATGCAATTTTCTGGAAGATTTGTGATCTACGCCAGCCATGGACCAGAGCTCGGGCCATTTTCACCCAACTGGGAGTTTACGGTTTAGGGAGGAGAGGGTTTTAGATTTTCTACGTTATAGTGTAGAACGATGGTAAAGAGTTAAATTAATCAACCCTTGCTCAACTTTAAAATTGTTATCACTTGTTCATTTAATTTCAATGAGTTACTGAATGCTTACTCATCTTTAATTATTGTTACCCATTCACCACCCACTAGACTTCCGTCTCTTTTAATTAACAGAAAATTACACGTGCATGACAGAATATTACGTTGCAAACACCTCCGTTAAATTGACCCAACTGGAATTAAACTCACGACCCTCTCATCTCCAAACATGCTTCTCCCCCAATTTCTTTGCTCACCAATTCGAACCCTTAATTCCCAATTCAAACCCTTAATTCCCAATTTAAACCCCAACGGACGAAAATTGGTGGAATCTGTCATCGCCCAACTTAAAAATTGTTGATCCCATCTCAAAAATTGTTGATCCTTCCACCAATTCAAACCCCGGCGGTCGCATCATCTCCACCACCATGAAGGAATCTACCATCACCCAGCTCAAATCCCTCCGGGACGACAACGCCAAGCTGGAAGAGAAAATCGCCCAGCTCTATGAAGTTGCAAGTCGATTTTATAATTGTAGCTCCACCAAACTTGGCGGTGATATTGGTCATCTTCGTCCATTCTCAAGTCTATTGCAAAAGCATTTTGAAGATGCAACATTTCTTTGCAAATTGGTGGAATTACTGACATTTCCTTGTTGAAGTAAGATCGAATATAGAAGGGAGATTGCAGTCCTATTTGGGAAGGGAAATTGTAGTCCACGAAAACGAATAAGCAGAATGTTGTGCCTAGGATTATTGCGACTGGTTGTTGTAGTTGATTATCTTATTGCTGCTGGTTATTACAAAATGTATTAATGTTGCCGGTTATTGCTGGTTTATATTGCTGCTAGTGGGGCTTATTATCTCATTTCTGCATAAACATAAACCAGTAGTGTGTTCCACAGAGTAAGCTCATTCATTCTCAAGATCATAAACATAAACCAGTACATTGTTGGAATATAAATAAAACATAAACCAGTAAAAACACAAACTGCTGGATGTTGGCCAAAATACAGTCCATTCATTCATGCATTTTCAAAATCATAAACATAAACCAGTAAACTGCTGGAATGTAACCATTCATTCAAAATACATTCATCCATGATGGTTAAATGACAATTCAAACTCATTAGATGACCAACAGCTACAGCTGGAATAACAGGCAAAGATAGTTCACTTTCTAAACCTCTTCAAAACAGACCCTAAACTACATTTATTTGGAAGGACCAGTGTTGTTAGATTGTGCATCACTTGTGACCCGAAGTCCAAGTGTCGGCATGAAAATGTATCCATCTGTTGGAGGATTATGTTGTACTTCATTTGTTGAGTTCTTGTTTGCTCTTCGAGTTGCCAGCTTAGCCTATGTTAGAGAAATGGTTAAGAGTCATGAAATCAGAAATCAATGGTAATCATAGAGTAACAAAATCGAAAAATTACCCTTGAACTTTTGACTTTCAACTTGGCTAGCTCTATCTTGATTTATGTGATTGGCATCATCTCCATCCCAATCCCGAAATCAGTAAACATAGTTACAAAACATGATTTCTACTACACAACTTTAGAACATGCTGACAAACCTCAATCGGTGCATCTGCACTGTCATGGTAATGCTTGTTGTGGCCAGTAAACAACATAAAGTGCATGTCATCTTCACTGTGCATTTTTTCTTCATTCTTGAAGTTGTGCTCGAATGAGTGATTACATCTTCCTCTTGTTACCTTTTGTGCTTTTTTTGCTTCCTTCCTCTCTTCGCCACTACCCAACCCGGTGGTTGTAAAGGGATAGCATTCACTTCCGACCACAATTTCTTACCGTTAATGGGATTGACAATGTTTTCATAGCACTGTAGATAGTTTTGCATTGTATAGCACTCGTGCACATACTTTGTACGATTATCCCCTCTGTCTAGTATAATAGCATCCCCATGTCCACATGGAATCCCTGTTGATAGGGTTGTACTGTTTAGCACTCATGCACATACTTTGTAGGATTATCCCCTCTGTCTAGTATTACAGCAACGCCATGTCCACATGGAATCCCTGTCAAATCCCATCTCCTACATGCACATGTCTTGTTTGAGAAATCAACCACGTATTCCCCAGTACAACATTTCACATAGAACTGTGGTTCCCTAGACCACTCTATTTTACACTCCTCGGCTATTTCAGTGAATTTAGCTAATTTTTGTTGAATCTTGGGACACAAAGGTCCTCTGGCTCTTCTCATCTTATCCCTCATTGATTGCATCATCTTCATGCAATTAATATGCATGTCAATTAATATAGTCAAGATTGATTTATCCCTATCCTCTAAAACTATATTGTTGAAAACTTCACATAAATTGTTAAGTACTACATCACTCTTTTATCTTAGTGGAGAAATGAGACTTATTCCATTCACATGGATCCCTTTTAGTTAACCACTCATACGCACCCGCACTCTCCTTCGCAAGTGCATCCATCCAAAACTTCCAATCAGGTACAGTAGTTGACTTTGCAGCTTTCCATAAGTATCGTTTAAGTGCTAAACTCCTAAAATCAGCCCTAAAAAATTTGTAATCCTTTCTACCTATCAGTCATAAAGGTCCATTCATTACTATTTACAATACTTAAATCTTCACCCAAATAACTAACAAACCATCTCCAACTTCTAGCATTCTCCGTCTCCACTATTACGTATGCTACGAGGTAAATACAATCATTGGTATCTAGTGCCACGGCAACAAGCATTTGTCCGCCAAAATTCCCTTACAAAAAACACCCATCTAAGCCTAACAGTTGTCTACAACCACTCACAAACCCTCTCTNGACTTCCAATCAGGGGCAATCTTGAAAGTCTCTATGTACTTCTCAGCAATATACTTAGCTGTGCAATGCCTATTTATTCTGTCTCGTATGCATGTGTACTGTGAATTGAAGGTCTTAATTTGAACGCAACCCTTATTCTTATTCAATGAAGCCCAAATCTTCCACTTACAATCCTTATCTTTGCACACTCCCTATGCTCTCTTTTTATCATTCGCTGTAAACTTCAAATTATGCCAAGTGACAACTCCATGATGTCTAACTGCTTTCTTATACTCTTCTATGTCTTTGAACTCTTTTCCAATCTCTAATTGTGGATTAAACTTCTCCATCTCAGCATCATACGTAGGGAAATGATTATTATTTTCCTCATTCGGAAAATGATCAATATGCAACTCTTTCTCAGAATATGCATAATATGGATCATCTAATTCCGAGCCATTATCTTCCCTAGCTGTTTCAAATTGACCAACCAGAACTCTGTTCGGTGCATTTCTCTGATATTGAAAACCACTATCGTCTACATCATCCTCAGAGTCATTTAATTGACACTCAAGTGGCACCAAATCTTCACTCTCATCATTCGTCACTAGAATGCAAAATAGACTAGGGATAATGTTTGGATATTAATGAAAAGGTAATTAAAACTAATATGGAACTGGGACATTTGTGAAATCTGAAGTTAACTGCTTCATATTATAAAATTTTCATACAAAGAAATAAACTTTTTAACATATATTAAGCATTAAATAGCATTGTTTATTGAAAACTATTCCATTTTTAGACAATATGGTTGGGGTTTTAGTGAAACCGATTGCAAAATTGACTCCTTAATAACAACCATTGTTGAGTACACTGTAAATGGAAGCATGAGAAAACAAAGCATGTTCCAACAAAATAGAATGGAAAATTACATTCTTGTGGTCTTTCTTGCTCGTCTTCCAACAATGCATCTTCCATGTGAGAGCTTTTCGGGTCACCTATGCCCTCCATTATCGCCACAAGAGAAGAATTCCCAAGCCTAATACGTTGATTTCAGGGTTAATTTCAAAAAATTGAGAGGACTGGTGTTGGAGGTTCTCTTCCAGTGAGAATGAATGACGTGAAAATGGGGGAGATTTAATCTTAGAGCACAAATGTCATGAAAATGGGTTAGATGGGTTTAATTCCAGCTAGGTCAATTTAACAGAGATGTTTGCCACGTGATATTCCGTCAAACACGTGTAATTTTCTGTTAATTAAAAGAGACGGGAGTCGAGTGAGTGGTGGATCGATAACAATAAGTAAAGATGAGTGAGCGTTCAGTAACCCGTTGAAGATGAATAAGTAAGTGATAACAAGTTTAAAGTTGAGTAGAGTGTTGATTAAATTAACTCTGATGGCAGAATATTTATTGATGCATAATGATGGTTAGAGGTGTCAATTCGAGTGATCCAGGCCTGGTCGGCCCGCTAACGTATGAGCCATGTAACGACCCGCGTGAAAAAAATCCGCCGGCTACGGGTTCCGGACCAGTCCCGGGTCGGCCTACAAATTTTGGACTACAACCCAGACCCGCCCCGTTCCGATTTGACCTGTATTATTGTATAAATAAAATTATAAAAATATAGAATTTTTCATATACAAATTATTGTAGAATGAGAATGAAAAATATAGCAGTTATTGAGCTCACATAAAAGATAGAAAAATTGAATTTAAATGTTGATGTGATGGATAATGATCATATTTTTCATTTTAATGAGGTAATAATGTAGATCAAACGGGGGCTTATAACAAAAAATATTTTTTTTT